ATACATGCCTTCTCGGGTATTGCTTCCTGCAGCCTTGGTTTGAGAATGTTCCAGAAATCCCCATGGGGATGGAGAATAGTGGGCATGGATCAGTGACGGTGCCCAGAGTGACCTCAATGTCTGGTGGCACCTCTCTCACCTCTAGTGCCCACCTGTAGGCACCCAGAGACTTGATGAGTCAAGGATCTGCCTTCAGGGGGATGGGCCTTGTTCCTGCCTGCCTACTACATCCATGGGGCCTGCACTGAGCTGGGAGCTGCCCTGGGGATTTCTATCCAGGGACAGTTGGGTAGAGTCAGCCTGGAATCCTGGGTTCTGTCCCCTTCTGGCCACTTTCTCTTTGCAGCATTGGAGATAGAGGTGCCTGGTGGTCTGGTATTCTCTTTGCTATTTGATCTCTGGCTGTGTGGCCCTGGTCAAGCAACTAGCATTCTCTGTGCTCTGATTTTTTTTTTTTTTTAACGAGGAAATCAGAAGCTCACCTGGTGTTAGAGTTACTGAGAGTTTGTCCTGTGAAGTGGCCAGTACCTCACCTGACATGTCTCACTCCTGAAAGTCTGCTGTCTGGAGAAGCCTGGGTGGGTGGGATGTAAACATCGTCTCAAAGGAAGCAGGTGGGAATGTGATTGTGGAGTGTGGAGTTGTATTGGGAATGCTGGCTGGGTCCCACCCCGTGCCCTGAGTAGCCCCTTTCCTTTGTGGAGACCCTCTGCTTTGCAGGGACACAGGGTGCAGGTAAGGGGGCTTGAGGCTGCTTGTTACAGTTTGTCTTTACTTACTTTCTCAGCTGACGGATGAGTCATTCTCAGGGAGCCCTTATCAATCCATCAAGCCTGTGTTGTAATCAAGAGAGACATAGCTTTATGACCATATAATATGGAGGCAAAGAATTATGACAAAATCTGTTATCCTCTAGAGAGCTGTACAACACCCAGAGAGGTCCAGCCCTCACCCACGGTCCCAGTGTGTGACTAGGGCAGACCCCGAACTCAGGCCAGGTGGCCAGTCCTGGTCCTGGGGTTCAGCATCTGTCACCACAACCAGGGCATGCATTGTGTAATGTTTCATCACATACAACCTTTATTAAGCTAATAGCTGATTTGGCTTTGATCTGATGTATTTTGATCTTATTATTTTTATGTTAGAAGCCTCCAAATAACCATCATTTCAACAGTGCGCCAATTAGTAGGCCATTCACAGTGGATTGGAAATTGACTCACATCGGGCCTCTCCATTAGTGCCTGGGAGAGGCTTCCAGCCTTAATTATCCACCCTGTTTGTGGAGGCCTGGCGCTTACAACGCTGCAGGTGGCTGCACGAGGGGTGGGCCAGCAGTGCCCACCTCCATGGGGTGGGCGAGATGGCTCTTGCCTCTGACTGCTAGTACTTAAGATCCTGGGCGTGACTTTGATGGAGAGATGGGATGTCCAAGGAAGGGGCAGGAGGCTGACATCTGTTCAGCATCTTGTGTACTGCGTGACGTTGGCACTTGCTGTCCACATCCTAAGTCAGTGCTCTCATAGCCCAGCTGGGTAGAGATTCTTATCCCTATTGAATAGAAAATGGAGGCTTAGAAAGGGACATGTCCATGGCTGTGTGGTTGACTGGAGGGGCCAAAGCAGGAACTTGGGTGGACTGTGAGATCCAAATGCTCCTCCCACCACCCCTGGTGAGTGGCAGCTGGTGAGGGTTCCGCCCAGCTCTGTCGTTGTCACTCTGCACCCGCCTTGTGCTGCTCTCCCTGAGGGGTACCCTGAAGGGTTCTAAATCCTTTCCTTTCTTTGAGGCCCTGGTGCCAACTGCAGATGAATCTACCCTCCTCTGTGTCCCAGGAAGCTTCCTCTCTCTTTCCTCCGGTTGAGCTGCAGAATCTGTCTCCTCGGTGGATCCTAAGCTTCTGAAAGATGGGACCATTGGTTATCCTGCTCTTCCCCCTGACAGTGCTTAGGGCAGGGGCTGGCATGTGGGCGGGGGGAGGGATACCAAGTATATGTATGAGACATCCAGGAGTGCAGGAGCCAGTGGCATGTGTGCCCTGAGGGAAAACGGAGGCTCAGAGAGGTTTTGCAACCTGACATATATGGAATGGGGACAGATGATGACCTGGGAGGGAGCTGGGCAGGTGGGGCAACAAGAGCCAAAAGTGACTGATGGCTGCAAGGAGGATTGGGATAGGACAATTCCATAGGAGTCTTGGGATAGGACAATTCCATAGAGTGTTGGAGTTCCTGGACAATTTATGTCCCAGGGATATACAGTTTATCATATACAATTGCATTTTAAGATCGTAAATGTATTGGCATTAAAGAGAGTATGCACAAGAAAAAAAATATGCGTTGTCATAGCGCCTTAGCCTTTAGTATTTTTTCTTGCCGTTTTCATGGGCGTGCTTTCTGCCTAGCTGTAACCATAGTTAGCATATAATTTTGTACCCTGGTATTTTCACGTGGCCACCTCTCAGAAGCATTTTCCCCATGTCTGTGGCAGTGTTCATTGTGTGGCCTCACATCTCATTATCTGGAAAATGGATACAATGATACCTACTCTACTCGAATGTCCTGAGAATACTGTGAATTCACGTGGACAAAGGACACCAAGAGAATTTGGCACAGAGGCAGTTCTCACACAGTAGTTCTTTCTCCTACGTAGTTTTCCTACTTATCCATTATCAGAGGACTATTTTTCTTTTTAAAAGGAATTATCTGTTTATGTCACAAAATTTTGGCAAAATATAGAAAAGAAAGAAAACCACATTCAGGTCTCTTCTAAACTGCAGTCACTGAACATTTTGCAATATTTCCTTCTGGCTTTTCTTTCATGCATGTTGATGTTTTATTTAATTGATATCATAAAATGCATACAATTTTGTATTACTTTCACATACCTATTTTATGACAGGCACTTTCCCATGTTATTGTAGTATCTTCATGAAAATTTTAAAGTCTGTATACGCTTTCAGCTAATGGGGCACTTTCATAATCACTCACCTATTTGCATCTTTTAGATCATTAGCAATATGCCAACAGTACGGAGAGCGTCCTCTCTCTGAATGGTTTTGGATAGAGTGCTGTTCCTATGGTTGGGACAGGTGCCCAGAGAGGAATTTTTGACTGGGGCCATGGAAATTCTTGCATAGCATTCTTGCATGAGTCTTTATTGCCTGTTGTGAGATGGGCATAGCATGTGCCTGGGAAAAGATGGTGAACAGAGCAGGCATGATCCCTGTCTTCCTGAAGCCTGGGTCAAGTTGGAGAGCTAGCCAATAACACAGGTAACATGTAGCCCATGACAGGGGAAGTGCAGGGAAGGGGATCATGCCACAAGGGTCATGGGCCAGTCTGGGGATGCTGAGTCTGAGTCCTGAAGCAAGAGTGAGCATCAAGATTGAAGAGGTGAGTTTGAGCGTCCAGGGTGGGCAGTTGGTTGAGATGTAGCAGACAAGGGTATGGTGAGGAGCGTGAGGCTGCAGGGATGGGAGCTTGCAAGACTACCCTTTCAGGAGTGGACTTTAACTTTATCCCTAAGGCTCTTAGGGGAACACAGCAGGGCTTTAAACAGAACACACAATGGATTTCTGTTTAGGAGAGAACTTACCTGACTGGAGCTGGGGTAGGAGGGTGCCAGGGCATCAGGGGGACTGTGAGATTCCCAAGAGAGACCTCATCATCCCTTGTTTAGCCACCCCCTGCCGCTGGCCTTGAAGAGGAGAGAACCATGGGATTTGGGTTCTTGTCCGGCTGCTGCTCCTGCTGGTGCTTGTGCTAGTGCAAGGCAAGCACACTTGCATAGGGGGTGGCTGGTTTTTGTTGCTAGAGTGTCGGGGGACCCTTCCCTTCCCACACTTTCTCCAGCCTCCCACTGCCTTGCTCCCTGGGGTCAGTTTCCCTGTTCTTCTCTCCCTCTCCCAGCCTTATCTGAGGCATTACATAAACCCAAGGGCTCTTGACCGAAAGAACTGCATTGTCAAAGTTGTTCAAAGTCTGCCGCTTGCGGCAGATGGCCTGTTGCCATTCACAGGCTGTGTTTTGAAACTGCATCTGCTTCTCCACATCCTTGCTATCACATAAACCATTAGTAAGAAATGTTTGCTTCAAAACTGGTGCAGTGGTTTGGGGCGTTGGGAGGTGCATCTTTTTATTAATTGGTTGATGTCCCAAGAAGGTGTAGGCACGTGGTTACAGGGGGCGCCTCTTGCAGTTACAGGAGGACTTGGAAAGAGGAGCCCCTGAGCCTGCCACCCTAGAAGCGGCTGCTGGAGCCTCTGACATGTTCCTCCTCCACACCTACGGTAACTGCCTGAGTAGCGAGAGCATCTTTCTTTGTTATTGTCAAGTGGCTTTTGAATAATTCTTCTGAAACAATTGCTTCATCTGGGGTTTGGCCCAGTATTTTTATGATATGGATCAAGTGGACTTGGCCAGAAGACCTGGGGTTTCTTTTCTTTTTTTTCCTTCCCTACATCCTGGGTCCTCTGGGGTCAGTGCCTCCCTGACTTTCTGAAGTTACTCAGTCCTGTGAGTCCCAATCAGTTCAGTCAACAGTTATAGAGCACACAGTATATTCTCTGCCCATGGCTAGGCATGGGGTTACAAAGATCAACACAACGACTTTTTGGCTCTGAAAGGGCTCATAGTCCTAGGCGGGAAACAGGATGGCTAATTTCACAGCTCAGTTGGGTGAGTCAGGCAGATTTGGGATGGATCTGTGCTCTACCATCCTTCCTTGAGAAGCCTAGGGCAAATGTTTTTGCCCCTTTTTACCACTATTTTCTTGTGTTAAATGGGTATAAGAATGTCTAGCTGGCATTTTCACCAAGGATGTCAGTGAGGCTGTGCTCATGAGAGTTGCTGGCCTGGCCCGGGATGGTTCTTGGTCCTGGAGGCAGGCAGCCTCTCTTGCGAGTCGTGGTCATGAGCTGCGGGGCATGGGGCCTGTGGGTTGAAGCTGGTGCAGCATCACCCTGATGCTGACCCCTCCCTCTCTCTCCCCTCTCTTTCTAGCCTGTGACCTCATGACCCAGGGGATTTTGGCTTTGGTCACGTCCACTGGCTGTGCATCTGCCAACGCCCTGCAGTCCCTCACAGATGCCATGCACATCCCACACCTCTTTGTCCAGCGCAACCCTGGGGGGTCGCCACGCACCGCCTGCCACCTGAACCCCAGCCCCGACGGTGAGGCCTACACACTGGCTTCGAGACCACCTGTCCGCCTCAATGACGTCATGCTCAGGCTGGTGACGGAGCTGCGCTGGCAGAAGTTTGTCATGTTCTACGACAGCGAGTACGGTGAGTTGTCAGGTGGGCGAGCCGGGGCTGCTCAGGGACAGGGATGGCCAGGTGCTGGGAGATCTGAGGGAGGCTGGGGCTGTGGACGGGTAGTGGGTGGTCTGTGCTGAGTGAGCCTCCAGGTGATAGGGTCAAACCTTGAGCTTCATGAGAGGGAGAAGAGCTGCAACAACAGCTCCATAGATAGGGACTAAAGTTGCCTAGCAACAACACCTTATCATGATGGCTGAAGTTTGAATCATCTTGGAGGTTTCAATAAGTTATTAATAAACTGCTGGCAGGGATCCAAAAGGCTGTGTGCTGGCAGGGGTGAGGCCAGCCAGCATGGGTCCTCCTGGAGGTCTCCTCTCCAAAGAGTGCCCTTCACACTGGACGGTTGCCGGGCCTTCCTGGCTCCTTGCTTCCATCTATCCCAGTCTGCCTTCAGTTTCAGGGTCCCAGGCTGGGGCAAAGGTTAGGGGGATGAATGCCCCAAGTGTCATAGCGCCAGGCTGGGGTTGCTGGGTTGGGGACACTGGGTAGGGCTGGGCATGGCTTCTTCGAAGGCCTCTCATATGAAAGCACATCATGATTTGCTTGTTAGGAAGCCACAAAATGGGCTTTGGAGAAATGGCTTCAGGTTTTCTTATGGCTGCCTTGTAAAAACAGACTAGTCCTAGTCCTGAGATAGAATGGTTTCCATGTTAAGTGTATAAACAATGCTTTTTAAAATTATGAGATAATTTAGATTTACATACAATTATAAGGAGCAATCCAGAGAGATCCAGTGTGCCCTTCCCCCAGGTTCCCCTATGGTTCCATCCTGCATAGCTATAGTATACTATTGCAACCAGAATTTGATACAGCCTGTAGGCCTTGTTCATATTTCAGTAGTGCACGTGTTCTTGCAGGTGTGGATTTACCGCTGTGCATTTTTAAAATCACATGTGTGGATTCCTGTGACCACCAGTCAGGATACAGAGCAGTTCCCTCACAAGGATCCCTATGCTACCCCTTTATAGCCACAGCCACCCCCATAACGTGTTAGAGGGTGTGGGGGACTGATGAGGGTTGGCAGCCCCACGGCCGGTGCCAGGATGGAATGGGTGGACCTTCGAAAGTCCCATTTCGTCTCTTGGTGATATAATTTCTTTGCCAAGAATGTAACTAAGAAAAGAAGTCAGCATATGTTTGCATTTGCTTAAATACTCTTCTCTAAGACTGGAATGTTGTCCTCAGCTCTTGAGCAAATATGCTGTTTGGAGTCTTCCAGGAAGAATTGAAAGAGCAAACAGTCACTGTGCTGAAATAAAGATGAGGTGGATGGGGACAAGGGCGGGACCTGACTGGATTCTGTCCAGGACCTGGCCTCTCCCTCCCACCCTCCCACTCTTGCTCAGCCCCTGGCCTTTTGGGAGGAGTTGGTGATGTTGTAACTGCCCCGAGGTGCCCGATCTTGCAGGGGCCAGACCTTCCCCTGAGTACACTTGGGGCTGGTGGCTGAATCCCAAAGTCCAGCCTGCTCTGAGGCTGGGCCCTGTGGAAAGGTGTGCACGCTGCCAGGGATGGGGGTGCTGTCGTCCAGTGTGCCCAGGCCCTTCCCACCCCACTTTCTCTGGGCACCATTGCTTTGTTTCCACTCTGGCCTGCAGACACAGTTTTCCCCTAGAGCCTGGGAGGGGACCTTAATGGGAGCCTCAGCCGCTGCGAGGGCAGATGATCCGCTCTCTAGCCTGCCCATCTGTCTGGGCTCCTGCGACTCCTGCAGACTAAACAAGGCCTGGTGGCACTTGGCCAAGTCCTGTTTTCTTGTTACACTCCTTACCCTCACTCCACTCAAGGTCCTCAGAGAAAGATGTCCCTGAGCGCCACCTGTCTTACAGAGCTGGCAGCTTTGTTACACTCTTGCAGACATGCTCATCCTGCCCTCAGCCTGCTCTTGGCTTGTCCTGACTCTCGTGAGGGCTGGTCCTCCATGAGTGCTGGACTTGCTGGTGAGGCAGTGAGCTCCAGGAGAGTGGCTGTGTGCTTCCCACCACTGTGGCCCTGCTGCCCACGTGGTGCCTGGCACAGAGTAGCTCCCTGACACATTTGTGGATGGAGACATGGAGTTTTCAAGCCATTTTCACACAAGACAAAGGAGGAGTGGGGAGAAAGACAAGGTTACTGGATAGACTGACCTCTGAGTATGAGGTGGCAGGGAAGGGGGCAGGCTGGGAAACAGATTTTATGCTGCAGACACTCCCCTGCCCCTCTTCTGTCCCCAACTCAGAATCTCCAATGGCACCAAAAGCTGTGTTCCTCTTTTCTGACATGGGCACCTTTGCTACCTTTAGTGGGGTTGAAGTTAGTTTCCAACCAGACTGCTCCTTATCAGTAATTCCATAAAGACACCGGGTGACCGGTAGTTTTCATCTGGTGGACCACTGCAGGTGGTTGGTTGAGGCTTCTAGGGAGCTGTGCTGGGAAGGATTCTGAGGCCGTGTCTGGGCTCAGCAGTAGAAAACACCATGATTGGTCTGTGAGGCTTCTATCGTGCAAGAGAGGGATTGGCAGAAACCTGCCATGTTTACTGGTTCAGACCCAGAGCATGGAGGTGAATGGAGCACCCCTGAGCTGGGCTTCTCTGTCAGAAGACAGCATCAGAGCCTGTGTGACCATGGCGCTGTCCAGGGTGCCAGCCCTTCTGACTCTCGGCTTCCTGGAGGCCGGAGAACTCTTATTGGATTCTGTGCAGGACCTCCTGCCTTTGCCTGCCCTGGTATGACAAGCATTGAGGATTGGTTTCTGCCCCTACACATTTTCTGTAAAATTTTAACCCAGTGCCCAGTGCTTGTCCTGGCTTTCCCCTCATGCCCAGCCCAGCCCCTGCCCATTGCCAACATGCCTGTGTTAGGTGAGCCAAGGCAGCTCAGCCTATCTGCTGTTTGATGCAGCACATCCAGCCCTCGGAGTGTGAGTGTGGCTGCTCCCTCGGCATGGCTGGGTGTGGCCTGTCCTCGTGTCACTTGTGGGTGGCTACATATTGCCAATATAGCCAAGACAAATGGTGTCTCTGAGTGCCTCAAGCCCCCTGCACCCCCACTGACTCACTGCAGTACTAGCTTCGGATGAGCCCAATTAAAAAGCAAATTAAGTGTAAAGACTGTTCTATTCTTTCCAAAGTCAAACAGAAGCGGTTTGGGAATATAGCAACTTTTTTCAATGCTGATCTGCAAGTACCTTTGTGTATTTTACTTCATTCTAACCACCCAACAGCCCTCTGAGGCAGGATTATTGCTGCATTTTACAGATGAGGAAAATGAGGCTCAGAAATGTTCTTTTTAACTTTAGTACCCATGCATTTAGCCAAGGCATCATCCTATTTCTGTAATTTGGTCTTACTAGGCTTTAGCTTCCTACTCCTGTCCCCAGCCAGACAGTCGATGCCAAGAAAGAGGGAGGTAGTTTGGAAGAGACATGGCATGCTCTAGGCTGGTGCAGTCACTTTAGTGACTCCCATACATAGGCTCCCTCCTTTGTGGGGTGAGGCCTGATTCTTTCTCATCTGCCCATCAGCCTCCCCTTAAACTCAGAAATGTCCTGCTCCAGGTAGAGCCTGAGGACTGGGCATTTGAGTCAGGAGTTGGAGATCAGAGCAGGAAAAGCCATGAGCTCCAAGACAGAATTTGGCAGAAGAGTGAGAGAGGAGTTGGTATGTATATGGTTTACAAAATGTGAGCTGTGCCATTTGGTAAAATTCCACTGAAAATACTTTTGTGCTTGTTGTGACAGTGAAAGGAAAAATAAAAGAGAAGATGACATTTGAGAGAGAAAATTTGCAGCATTAAAATACCAAAAGTTTGGATCGAAAAGAATGGAGAACTTTCTGAGTTGCCACTTCAAATGCTGGGATATTCATATGTGTATGCCTTGGCAGGGGGTGTGTGGCGGGTGCTAGTAGCTGTATCCACAATTTCCCTCTAGTGAATAAATTTGGATGAAGGTTGTAATTATGATGAGCTCTTAGATGTCATTGACTCATTCATTCAACAAATATTCATGGAATCCCTACCACAACCAGGTATTTTCCTAGGCACTCATTTTCGATGAAGATACAGATGGGTGGAGTAACCTGGCTAATGCTGCCTGGGCTGGCATTGGAAGTCAGAGCCCAGGGGCATCTCTAGGGCATGGCAGTCCCTTCTTAGCCACTGGGATAGCTTGCAGGCCTGGGATGTGTTGGGAGCTGGGATTCCACAGAAACACAACATCGGGGCTCTGTATGAGTGACCATTATCTATTTGTGCTAGTTTAAAAATTATTTTTTTTAATTGAAAGCTACATGTGGTTACGATGTATATGTTCAGTTAAAAGACTAAGAGCATGAACATTCATGAACCCACAATCAGTTTAAAAAATATCAAGGAGCCCTTGTGTGCTTCACCCTGCCCATGTCTCCCCTACAGAGGGAATTAACCACTCTCCTGATTGTGTGATAACGAGTCCCTCACTTTCCTTGGTAGTTTTTTTTTTCTTTTTATGTGCCTGAAGTTTTGCCAAGTTGTATCTAAACATGGAAATTTTAAATTTATGCCTCATATATTTAAAACACTGTACATGCATTTCACTGTTTTAGAGGATCCTAAGCCAATGTCTTTTTAAAAAAACTTTTATTTTAGGCTTAGGGGTACAAGTGCAAGTTTGTTACGTAGGTAAACTGGTGTTGTGGGAGTTTGTTGTATAGGTTATTTCATCACCAAGGTAGTAAGCCTAGTACCCATTTGTTGTTTTTCTTGATTCTCTCCCTCTTCCCACCCTCCACTCTCCACCCTCCCATTGGCCCCAGCGTGTGTTTTTCCCCTCTGTGTGTCCATGGGTTGTCATCATTTAGCTCCCACTTATAAGCCAGAACATGCTGTATTTGGTTTTCTGTTCCCGTGTTAGTTGGCTTAGATTAGAAGCTTCCAGCTCCATTCCTTGATAGTTTTATCATACAAGTATAGGGCCTAAAATACACAATGTTTACTTGGTTGGTTTAC